ACTATTATTACGTTTTGGTATGCTTGGCGTGTCACGCTTCATAGTCACGTAGTGTAAAATTGTAACGTCTTGCGGTGTCTACTTTTGCTTTCTCTCAACTGTATTAGTCATCATTGGATCACTCCATCTGCTTTTCAAAGCATGCAAGAAGGAAGACCTATTTTGTAATCATTGGGGTAGCTACTGTTTGTCACTATATTGATCATATTTTGAGAGGTTTATCAATCAAGAACAGATTTACTGTCTATGAACAGCTCATCAGAAAGACATCAGGCTCTAATCAAGGAGGTGGTTGCTGTGGACACAGGACTTACCACTATTGTCATATCATGCATCACTACTCTACACTTCTCCTGTCAGTTTAGGTCACTCCAATTAAATTCATAGTTTCTCCTTACACGTGCGGGACTGATGCGGGCGTGCGGTAAATTAATTTTGATTAAAGTAATAATAAAGTTTCAACAAAGTAGACTCTATACCTGATTCCTTGTTCATCAATAAGCTAGAGAGCAGTGAAGAGCCCAGTTATTCTTCAAAAAGAGTGAAAAGAACCTCAAAAGACTCGTATGTTTACGTTATTATTATTTTTAATATTTTAATTGAATAATTTAAATATCGGCACAGGCGAGCGGGCGGCAAGGAGAAACTACAAATTTAGTTGGAGTGGCCTTACAATCGGATCATTTCTCTATTACTAGCTGTCTTCCAGTAGGGAAAGGAGGAAGGAGAGGAAAAATGGAATATAGGGAGAAAAGAACATATCCTGGATTCAATGAAGACATGAGCATATTTTTTCACTGTATGGGTGGAGCTACCCTTTTCTACAGTGACCTGCTTTTAGTCCCGATCATGTGAGAGGGAAGGGGAGGGTCAGCGGAGGGGAGAGGGTTTCGCCCAGGAGTGTGGGAGAAAGGAGTTCCCCTTTTGGATCGGATCGAGGCTCCCAGTATTTCATGCTTGGAACCCTCTCTTCTTCTCTTTCACTTTCTTTTCTTTTTTGTGATATGGACTCTAAGCAGAAGAAAGGATCAGACTTTTCTTTTTGTTTTTTTGTCTTGATCCTTTATCTATACTTAAAAGCAGGCAAACACTATGCAGTTGAGCTAAGCCAGGTTACGGTGGGTAGATTGGTGAGGTTTGTGATGCAGGTAGTTTGATGAACCTGGGCACTAGCTTCCTAATTCTCATTCTGATCTCTTTCTCGATCCTGTGGCTTTGACTGAAGATCGATTGTTAAGTGTTTGCCTCAGGTTTCAAAATAAGTCAATAGCTCTCATTGTAGGTTTATGATCAACTTAACGTTAAAATTACATGTGCATGATCTGACATTTTGATGCAAATAATGCTTTAAGTTGACACGATATTAGCGAAATTTTAATTTTACGTTGCATTTTGTGACATATGTTTCTATTGTTATTTTGTAAGATGCACAATTAATTCTTAATTAAATAATTATTCTTGATAATTTGCACATTGTGTAGTAGATTGTGTATATTAAAACTACTCATTATGTTGAGGTTTTAGAGGTTACAATATTTAGACAGTAATGATAGGAAGCAGTAATAGGTCATTAGATAATGGTACAGTATTAAGATTACTTGTCTTACATTGTGTATACAATATAAGTTGTAGGTATAGGTAATATGGTATGATATTAAGATAGAAATGTATTTGTATAGCAAGGTTAATATGGTATAGGTATCATTGTGTCATATTGAGGTTCATAGGTTAATAAGTTAATGTAGGTATGAATATAATGGTATGGTGTTATAAGATGAGAATGTACTTTTATAGCAAGGTTGTTATGGTATGCATGTACACATAGATATCATTCTGTCATTTAAAGGTCATAGGTAGTAGTAGAACTAGAAATTAGAAGGGCACTGAGAACTAGAAATTAGAAGGGCACTGTTTATATAGTGTAGGTAGTAGTAGAAATTAAGAAACATGTAGTGTTAGTATACAGGTTACAGGTATATAGTGTAGTGTAGGTATAATAAATAATCATAGGAAACATGTAGTTATACCTAGGATATGGGTTATGTGTGGAAGTTAGAAGATAGTTATAGGTATAGTGTAGGTATTTTATAGTAGAAATTAGGAGGTAGTTATAGTTTAGAAATTAGGAAACAGGTAGTTATAGGATACAGGTTATATAGTGTAGGTATAGGTTATAGATCTAGGTTCTATGATTTATTATTATTTTATTATTATCGTTTATAATTATTTGTTATTTTTATGATTTATTATTATTTATTATTATTATTTTTACAACCTGGGGCCTCAGCAAGAGTGTTGGGCCTCAGGTTATTTTTATTTTTGGGCAGCAATGTAGTGCCGCCTCCACGTGGCGCTCCTGGGATCACTAGTGGCTATACTACTGCTAGTGATGCTAAGAGCACTACATACAAGAAGAATAACAATACTAACAGTAAGTTTGTGTAAGAAATTTAATATTATTATTGATAGGTTCAAGCTGAAATAAAAATGAAATGTCAAGTGGATTGATGCTCAAGACTGAAGCTAGAGATTTATATACTAGTTTTAATTTTTTTTTTTGAAGAATAGTTCTTTTAAAATTTTGATTGCATGCATTTTTAGCAATTTGAACTGTCGTTGCCAGTTCTACAACTACTGCTGTGCAGCACTGCTAAATGAGCCACCAACACATGCACACATCTTTTTATAATGAATGTACAAAATATTATGTTGTGTAGAAATTCTAATTCAAATTTTAATTTTTAAGGTTCCAAATTTATGTCAAGATGTGCATGTATCTATATATAATAAACAAAAAAAAAATTTCTATTAAATAAGAAAAAGTAGGGTTGTCAAAAAATAAAAGAAACAAAATTAATAATAAACGTTAATTAATAAAAAATAATAATTCATAAAAATAGTACTAAGATTTCAAACCCTACTTTGCAGAAAATGATAATAGGCAGAAATAGAATTTTAATAATAATTATACTTTTGTACCTATTGATTACTCAACGACATTTCTATGATGTAAATTAATTATCTTGTTAGATATAAATTAAACTTTTCAGCTAGTATTGATTGAATAAATTACTGTCATGACAATTAAAACATCTAAATTATAGATAATTATTTGGCTATTGCATTTTTTAATGTTTTTGATTCAGTACAATATCTAAAAATTAAAATATTAAAGTATAAGAATTGTAATTGGACTCGCCACAGTTGTGTAGGCTGGAACTAAGCAGTTTGCTTATCATTCTTTCATTAAATTTTATCATTTTAAAGGAAACAATACTCATTCATAAAATTCTGCAAAGTAGGGTTTGAAATCTTTGTACTATTTTTATGAATTATTATTTTTTATTAATTAACATTTATTATTATTAATTGAGCTATTAATTATTAATATGGTTGAACTCAACCCCCTTGTTTCTTTTATTTTTTGACCCTACTTTTTCTTATTTACTGAATAGAAATTTTTTTATTTACTTGTTTCCGTACTTTTTATTAAATTTTATTACTTAATAATCCTTTTTATTGATAATTATAATTTTTGCCTTAGGTATCAGTTCATTAATGGAAGAAAAGAATTTTGAAATAAGAACCATAAGAAGACCTACCGCATTATAAACAGTTTTTGAATTTTTGAATCATTAATTATATTCATATCCTAACTCATAATTATTAATCATTAGTTGTCATTACTAAGATCTATGTCCGGTTCTGAAACTATTTAAGTTTACATTCAGCTTCAGTTGCCACTTTCCCGCTCACAGCTCTCAAACTTTTCCGCAGTTTTGCTTTGCAACCTAAGTTTTGTGAAAAAGCAGCAAGTCAGTTCAGTTACAAACTTACATTAGCTATTATTATGTTTTCTTATAGTTTATGGATTATGATGAGCATCATGGAGTTCCTCCTCCACCACCACCAGTAGTAGTCAGGCGGGAAGGGTCAGGCCCCGCCTGACTACACCAGTAGTTAAGTTAAGTTGGAGGGCCTCCGCCACCACCTCCCGCCGGAGGCCCGCCACCACCACCACCACCAGATGATGGTCTTCCTCCACCACCTCCAGTAGCTGGAGGTCCTCCACTGATGGCTGGAAGTCCACCACCAGTGGATGGAGGTCCTCTGCCACTTCGCCCTGCTGCTCCAGCACTTCATCCAGCTGGAGGCCATCTTGATGTTGCTGCTCTGCAAAGGCAGTTCATCATATGGCAGTTACGCCAAATCAATCGAGAAATTGTAAGATTATTTTAGTTATGATCTGCAGTTTGTATAGATACCAATTAACCACCTTTCTATTCCATTTTACTGTAGTACAACAATCTTCCGAGAGCCAGACCAAGAGGCAGGGGCAGGGGCAGGAGGAACAGTAACAATAATGCAACAAAGAACTATAACTTTTATTAGATTATTATATAATACGTACATGTAAAAAGTTAACTTTTCTTAAATTTAAAACTTATAATAAAAGTCAAATATTTTTAAGCATAAAGCCAAAACAGAAATTATAATAGCAATGCTTAAAATTAGTGTTTGTTCAACAACGCAAAACAATTCAATACTTGAGCTTCAATCTTCCTACAATACAAATACATGTGATATACATTACTTAATTATATTAACGAGTAAAGAAAATACATACCATGGCCATAGTTAATCAGATAATCAATATTAATAATCAAAAAGAATTATAGCCTTGGATCATGATCTATAACACAATAATAAAAAACTATGGAATCTCACAATATTCTATCTTACTATGTATTCAATTGCTAAGACTATGACAATATGAAACCTGTGCAGCTGGAAACTGGCGCCTTATCCAGTGTGAAAGCACCACTGATCAAAGAGCTACAACAAAACATGATGTTACAACAATGATTATTTATTAGAAATTAATTTAGTCACCACAAACGAAATCAGACAATAGCCTTAGACATTTACCATGCTATGAAAGTATTACATTACACCTTATTGCAGAATCATTAAATCATTTGCAGTTGAAAATACTTAAAGCAAAGTAAGAAAGAAACATCATCAACAGCAAGCAATGTAAACACACAGGCTATATATGCTATACTAAATATGTACATGTATATGCATGATATAACTTATGTTTGTCACGAACTTACATTACAAACCACTATAAAGATACATCTGCTCACAAAGAGGAATAACCCTTCACCTTTTAAATCTCTTTCCAAGTCTCACCACATTGAAGTCCTTGTGTAAAATATGTACCTGTGTAAATTATGAATGTGAAATTATACATTATGTACTAACAAATTGACAGTAGCATACATGCATTTATCAACAATTAATATACATATAAGACATGTATAGCTCCACAATGCATATTAAGCTATGATTGACTCATACAAGTATATGTACATACACAGTACATGTAATTTATACATACACCGTTCAATTTGATGACTCATGCCATCCTGAATTAAGTTTCTTTTACGAGACCTGCATTGTGCAAATACACATTAATAGACCACATGAATACATTCCAATGTGCAGACAATTATTTTTGTATTGTTAATGAGAACATGCATGCACACAACAAAAGATGCATTGGCAAGCATTCATTTATATTGAGTAAAGAAAGTACTTACTGTGGCCATAATTAATGATATAATCATCAAACAAATATAAAGTATGTAACCTAGAATCATAACCTATACCAAAATACATAAGACATCTCACAATAATCTCCACCTTACTACATATTCCATTGCTAAGACTATTATACAGTAATATAAAACCTATACATATGTAAACTGGCACCTCCTACCGCGTGATACAACTACTAATCAAGGAGCTGCAACGAAACATTAAGTTACATTTAATAAATAAATTAATTTAGTTACAACAATCTAAATACAGAATTGCCTTTCATTATATTGCACATTCCAATATCAAGCAAAGGTATTGCTGAATCAGCAAATCATTCCCAGCTGTAATTACCTGTAAAGCATATAGTAATAGAAACATATCAAAAGTAAGCAATGTAAACTCACAGGCTAATAATAACAATAGCACAAACAGTAATGGTAAACAAACTTTATTATTAATCACATCAAACCTCACTCTTTAACACCACATTGTAGTCCTTGTGCCAAGCAAGTACCTGTGAAAAGTATGAATGTGACATACTAACTAATAATGATAATGGTAGCATCTACAATATTTCCGATTGGATCATACATGTATGTGCATGCATGTATTTTAGACATAATATTGCTTACTAATGCTATCCTCAGTTAAGATACTTTCATGACCTGCTTAATATAAAATAACACTGTGTACATGAAGGATTTCCAATGTGCAAACAATATTTTTATGTTAATGAGAACATGCACATGTTACAACAATCATCAATAAAAGATGCGCAACATCAGCTGGCAAGCATTTAATATGCGCACAGCATTGATGGCAGCATCATTCAAATGCGCAACATCAGCCGGCAAGCATTAACTTAATAATGCGCACAGCATTGATGGCAGTATTATGCGCAACATCAGCTGGCAAGCATTTACATATATGTAATGCGCACAGCATTGATGGCAGCATTAACATGCATGATGATCATTAATATGTGTACAGAATCACTGCTTGAATAATACTACATGTATAATAACAACTTTAATTTTACTCGAAAATTTTTCTTGTCCTTCAAAATTTTTTCAGCAGCGCCCAGATCCATAAGCACCTGTTATTTGTAATAAACATGTAGTACAAGCCACAAACAAGATCCAGATTTGATAATGACTGCTTCCTCCCTTCCTAACCCTCTGTCCTAAATAAATGATAGTCACACAAATTTGAATCAATGCTAAACTCTAATGAACAGTAAACCTCTTTCACACCCTCTCCCTGTCCATTATAGCAACAAGTACTCAATATTCACTGTTATACATTGATTAATCTCACATCCTGAATGCAGTTTGATCCCTTGATACTGCACCAATGGTTTTCACACTCACACATCATTCACATTGCACATGCAGTGAAATATAAGTCACATTAAACAACCAATGTTTTTAAGATGATGGACCTCCCATTCACCATACCCACTTCCATTATCAATCAATGCTTAAGAAATATTAATAGACTTAACTGCTTGGAAATGATTAGTACCAACATGCTTCAAATACAAAGCAGGTGTATTAGTATCACAAGGAATGCCATATAAAGTTTGGGTTCCATATCTAGCCCAGCCAACAAAAGTAGGAGTTAGTGAATATGAATATATGGTTGTACCTAATATTGCAGTTAGTGTAATAACCTCTGTGTCAGTGGCCCACACACAAATTCTATACATTTTGGACTTATTTATGTAATCATATATGCTTGAATATCTGGTTGCACTTAATGTACACTATTAAACAATTCTTCTTCAAAGTTTGGCATATTACTAACAATTGCTTTACATAATTCGTAATGCTGAGAAATTGACCCAGTGATGAGATATGAAAGGGCATAAAATAAACAGTTCCCATCACCAGGGACATCAAGAGTACTATTAGGAACTCTTTCATCTGACAATGGTGTTGTTGGACTACCAGGTAAGATTCTAGCAGCTGTGACAAATTTGAGATTTAAAATCTCACACCACCTTCTTTGATATTCTTCATTACCAGGGTAATAAACATAATCCCATTGTCTCCTTCTCACAATATCTGGGTTGGGAGGCTCTTCATAAGTAAAGATGACATCATCATCTTTTTTTGGATTACTTGTCTTTAATTTAATGCTTGAGAGTTTTATAGATACAATCAGACTACTACTACAATGGTCATTTCTTACAACACACTTGGTTTTATCATCTTTTGGTTTACATTTAATGTTTGAGAGTTTTATAGATACAATGAGACTACTACAACTATCATCATCTTTGACATTAAATTTGATTTTTAGGTCTTCCAAATTAATTGAAACAATTAATTTATCATCTTTTTTTGAACGAGGCAATACCAAAGCAGTATTATCAGTACTACTGTTTACATCAACTTTTCTTTTTTGGGGGCAAGGCTCATTTAAAGCATTATCGTCACAAATTTTACTCTTTTTGGGGCGATTAGACTTTTGTAAATCAGTACTCTTACGTTTCTTGCTACTAACGGTACTGTTACTAGTACTTTGTACATGACTTACAGACACCTTGGCATTCTTACTACAAGGTTCACCATCATCAATTATACCAGTCACTTGAATCTTTCTCTTCTTTCCTTTACTTTTCTTGATTTGAGGTAAGTCTTTTCGAAATTTACTTCTGAGGCGGTTAATTTCGTTAATGCACGGATTACTAACTTTAACAGAGAGAGGATCAAATGATAATAAATGTAATCCATTTAATGTGCATACACGAGACAATGCAACATATGCCATACCATCCCCAAAAACATCAGTCGATAAATCAATAATGGCTGTATCTAGTGGGAGGCCTTGACATTTATGTATAGTAATAGCATAAGAAAGTATAAGGGGAAACTGTTTCCTATGTATATACAAATTCTTAGATAGCATAAATCTAGATGTAACCCTTTCTATGTCACAAGGTACATCAATATGACCTTAAATACGTGACTCTTAAGCGTATCAATAGTTTCATCAGTCAGACAGCCATGCCTAACAGAATCAAGCATCTTAGAGAAAGTTTCGTCTCCTTTTTGTCGCTCATTGATTGTTAGTTCATCATATTCTACTGTTTCTTTCCATATGTTAACTGCATTTGCTGCTCCAAGTCTATTTTTTACTAGTTTGTTGCTAATTTTTTAAAATATTGGTCTACCATTAACTGGTGGCAATTGTAAGAGGTCACCTACAAATAAAATATTTTTGGATCCAAACCATTCATCAGTTCCAAATATATCTTCTAAGCGCATGTGTAAGTATGCTAGATTTAGATTGGATACCATAAATACCTCGTCTACTATTATAATTTTTAAATTTTTAAGTGTCATTTTTATCCTTTTCTGAGCTTCTTTATTCAAAGCCCAATATCCAGCTGTCTTTCCCTCATGCTCTATCGGTAGCTGAAATAATCTATGTATTGTTAGTCCACCTACATTAAATGCAGCTATACCTGTTGGTGCTACAATAGCACACATAATTTCACCACTTTTTGGATGCCATATGTCATCCACTAGGCATTTTATTGCCTCTATTAAAAACGATTTACCAGTTCCACCTACACCACTAATAAACATCCTTAGCAGTTTGATATTATCTAATCTAAGTAGTCTTGAAGACTCATTCTCTAATAAGTCTTCACGTTCTTTTTGACTTATAAGATGGCTCTTAATTTTATCAAAAATTCTTTTTTGATCTACATTAAGCATTGTCTCTCTTTGCTCTAATGTTAAATTAGGTACATTTATATGCATGTCAGCAATATCAG